TTGAAAAAGTATAACTCAAGGAACAGAAAGTCCGAGAAGGCTTTCCTGTCAGAGGTTAAATTCAGTAAAACGTGAAGAATGGCCCATAAAGTTACATAAAGAGGCCTGATGCAAAATGAAACCCAATAGAAAGATATTTTCCGAGAAAATACAACGCAAATAAATACAAAGATTACAATATGATGGCTTTATGGACATGGTAAAGAAAGTGATCGGAGATTTTTATTTTGAGCCTGAAGTTTTAAATCCTTTGTGTTTTAGCTGCACATAAATGTCTTATCCTCACCCCCTTTGATCGATTTTGTTGGATTTTATACAAGACGTTAAATGAGTTGTAGACAGAAGTTGAGCATCCTGAATTCAATACAGACTCAGATATGACTACAGATGGTCTTGTTCTCAACTTTTATGAACTCGCTCGGTAAGTGTATTGTATGCAATATTTTTGACTCAACAAGAGCAAATGAACTTATGATTACGTATTCATGAGTTCCGATGTGATAACTTCTCCTTTACACATTGACTAATTAGCTACTTGCATAAAAAAATGATACGAAGACTTGCAGAAGAGAACGTTCTTTAAAAGGAATTCAATAGGCTTTTACGTAGAAGAAATTTCTTTGGGTTATTTGGGGCCATTCTGTAACCATTTCTCTCCTCTTTATTTTGATAAGTAAATCTAAATGGATGCCAATTCAACAAGCGTTCTGCAAGTAGTTATTGATTCCTTTCCAGCAACATCAAAGGCAAATATCTGTCTGATTCTTCAGGAAGAGAAACCTATTCACCCTTAAAGCTACACAGATTTTGAAGATGGATCTTGGAGTAGATAAAATCAAACTTGACTTAAAAGTTATGAAACGTCGAGTTTGACTCATCTTTCAGAGAACAACTGACTGAAACATGACAGTTGCCAATAATGTCAAGGGGACCTTCCGCATCTAATTTGTCATCAGTAACTTTTGAATAAGGGATTTTGAAGACTTTTGCTAATTACACGAACCATTCTTGAGCTCGTGTAATAATGAATATTGGTATGCGTGTACTGTTTCAACCGACAAGGAGATACATCTACAATATTCCGGTCTTATGACCTTGAAATGAAGTTACATATATGATACTGTATTGCAATAAACGGTTATTCAAACTTCCAGTTATCAGATTTTGGAATAAGGAGGAAGTTTTACCTTCTCTTTATGGAAATATTCCTGTAGTTTTCATTTTACTCTGTTGAAAGTGCTATAGTTTTAAAGCATGTCATTTTAGCTTTCGAAACCATAATAACTCTTGTCATAACCTCATAAGTTATGTAAAGTTATCTTCATTTCAGTGCCAACAGCGGCTACAGACTTTTAGATTTTATTCGCTAAAATCTTTTGCTTTTCGACAGATATTCCACTACTACGAACTGCTGAAAAGTACTTCAGGTTCGGCTTTTATTTATATTTAATGATCACAAGGCATTAATAACTGTTTAGTTTACGAGAGTATATTTTCGATAATCTTAAGTAGGTTGATGATTGAGGCAATTTTGATAGTGGCTTATGGGATTTAAGTGGCGTCTTTCGGTTACGGATAACTGCTTATTCTACTTTACCAAGCCCTTATGTTGATTTAAAATAACTTTATGAAGGTATAAAACACATTGAATTTGTATGATTCTGAAAATGGGTTTCTAAATATCACTTCTAATTGGGGTATCTCAGTACATTTTAGAAGCAGGGATGCATGGTGCTTTATTTTTATTGTTAAAGATGTGACTAAATTTCTAAACATCTTGAGATGCTGGCAAAGTTATCAGAAGCAATGTCTAGAAAGAAAACAAAAGAAATCGAAATTAGATGTTAGATTACGATCATACGGAATGGTCTTGAACATTGAACTTGTTGAAATGAGAAATAATTAATTTCATGGTTATTTCCAGTGTGACATAATATAGGGGACTAATTCATTCACAGTGAATTTAGTACCTTGAAAATCATGAAGGCTTAGGCAGTGCCATGAGGTAGAAAATGAGTTTTATGTTCAGTATGCTTAAGAGTTCATGCAAGTGAATTACATTTGTCTTGTTGAAGATAGTACTTCTTCGTTGCATGTTGCGTGATCCCCTTAGCATATGCCAAGCACTGTAGAGCTGTCAGGCTAAGAGAAATTACTAGTAGTCCTCACAAAGTATTTTCCCCACCCCCTTTTGGAAAGCATTAACTTTCTGTAATCGACCAGTTAGAAGCAGGGACTCTATTTGGCAAGAGGAACACTTCTCTCAGGTCTCGGAAATTTCACAGAGAAAATATGGTCTTCTTTTCAAACAGTGTACACACGATGTGATCACAACTCAGAAGCTTCAAGCATTTGAATATTCTCAACAATACTAGTCAATGAAATAGATTCCTAATATGGAATAGGGGTTGGGTGTGAAAACAGACTTAAATCAGATTGGCCTAATTTCACTGGATAGCTGGTCCATTTGAAACTTTATGTGTTTCCCTATGTACTGTTGTGAAGCTACTGTACACTGGTGGGGATCTCTTGTGAACAAATTTACTTGTTTATACTTCATCGATGTCAATGCATGAGAACACGTTTTCTGTTGCATCAGAATGGTATGCATCTCTCGAATGTTGTACGACAACTAATCGAGAACGGTTACAAACTAACAGGACCTGTCTGTAAAAATGAACTTTGTAACTATTACGATTTAATAGGATTTCCATTCAGTGCTCTGAATAAAAACCCATATAAACTCTTTTGAGCATATACTAATCGATTACCATTTCTCTTTAATTTTCCATGCAGACTTTCATTATGGATTAGCTCATAATCTGAGTGAATAATCATACGAGATGTATTAACCTGTGTATAAGGTTAAATAAAGATATTTTTGCATGTATATGTAATTATAGTAATGGATTGTCAGTGCTAAAAAGTGGTGTTGCAAAATATAAAGTTTTTGCACACTCATTAGCGTACATGTTTTACTGTTCCCTTATATTGAACTTATAGTATAGTTATAAACAATGCTAACTAACTGAAGCTGCATACATTGAGACACTTTGTACACCTGCTGCTATCTAGGTGATTGACTGAGAAACTTCTGTGTATCAAATAATTTAAGTAGACTTGACATCAAAAAAGCTCGACTACATTTAGCAGATCAGTTGATTTAATAAATTCCTAGTCATCCATGACGGTTAAGTGATATCCTGTTTGGTAAATTATCACCTTTAGACTAACAAAAACTAAAGGTAGGCAGGCATAAATGACGAATCTAAAAGTAACTTTTAGCCTTCGTAGTACGTCAACTATTCACCTATTCGATTTTTGAACCATACACTGTCAGCAAGTGTTATACACCGAAATCAATTCCTTACTGTTTATGAGACTGAACCTCCAACAGTTAGTCAGTTACAGACAGATGCAGTAAGGCGTATCCGTCTCCTTCAAATTATCATAATGCAGATGGAGTAAAATATTTGCTAACATTGTAATTATATTTACAAGTTGATCTACGTGATCAAACAGATAATTATTACCAGTCGTTTTTATATAATAGGAATTCCTAATGAAAACTGCCTGTTTACAGAATACTTGACGTCAAAGTACACATTAATGTTTACCTTTATCAATTATGTTTTTTCACTGACACTACGATAGTTTATTTCTTTAGAAAATACAATTAATACTCTTTATCAGCTATACTGAGAAATAAATTTCCTTCAGCTAAGTGAAACAATGATAAATTATCATGGTATATTAAGTAAATAAAGAGAGAGAGAGAGAGAGGAAGACGAAGAGGGAGGGAGTTTTAAGCCAATCAGATATGGTTACGACCCTTGAAAAAATTCATAAAGAAAAGCCATTCTTTCTTATAAACGAGCAGTATATATCTCTGTTTGTGGTTTGGGGAGTTTAACTGCTTTCAGGTCAGATTTTATCACAGATTCATATCAGCTTGAGAAACGTTGAAATCCTGGAACTACTGAATAGCTGTAGCATTCCAGTCTAGAACTCCTCAGCACTACACCTTGAGCAATCAAGCCTACGACTGTCAGTTCTCAAAGCGAGCACATTTTCCCGCTTCTGTCACAACCATCATCCAATGTTATCAATGAGCATCCACTTCCCTGTTAATTTGAAGTCCCGAACTAAGATGAAACATCTGTCTAGTACTACTCTCAGCCCCTTAGTTTTTCTCCAAACACTGGATATTTTCCAATCCCATAGTTGTAGGTTATTTATGTAATAACAAGAAATATCAAATCTGCCAACTATTGTGAAATGTTTAATGTTAAGACGTTTGATATAAGTTTTAGTAGGAACTCTGATTATTGTAACAGTTTGCTGTTAAACATGATTTTATTACATCATCACAGAAACAATGAAAAAAAAGGCATGGTTTTTATCTCTGTATTAAATAATTTGTTCAGTAAAAGACAAGTTGAATTGTGCTAATTAATTAAAATTTTTGAAGAGAGATAGTGTAAATAAATGTAGGATTGGTTAGTTCAAAATTTTGATTAACATTACTATAGTAATGCGTGGGTTATAATGAAAAGGATATTTAATGTGAGTAGATTTGTGTTAGTTTACAGAACCAACCAGTTAGTGTTAATGTGAAATCAAGAAAACAAGATAGAAATCAAGTCTTGTGATATTTTAGAGTCATAATCATTTTACAGATGTATATAAACAAAAGTGATTTTATTTATTAGTGTATTTGTAAATACCAGTGTGTACTTGTCATGAACACAGATTGAAGGTATACAAAGTCAATGAACTCCATTACATTTGTATGTGTACATAAATACCAGTTACTTTCATCGTTTGGTTATTAAACCATTAAAAATTATTAAAATTCTGAAGGAAAATACTCAATTGTATATAAAAAACAAATGTATATAAACTTAAGTACACTTGTAAAGAGACATAAAAATTGATCAGTTCCCAGATAACTGATAATATAAAAAACAAACAAACATATATGAACTCACTTATACAATATGGATAATGAAATATCTGCAAATAATTCTAATTCATTATTGAAAGGAAATCTAAGAAAAGCTATTAATGCTTTAAAAAATGATGATTTGAAAACTTTCATCAATTATACAAAATCATTTAACTTTAAATCAACATTTGATTATGCAACAAATGAAGATAAGGTTAGTTGAATTTCATGTTTTGTTTAATATATGCATTTTTTCCCTAAGAATAATGATTGAAATAGTTAGTCTCTTTGATGAATTTGTATAGTGTAACAAGAAGACAGAGGTTATCTGAGAAATGTTATATATTTGCGCAATACATTTTGAACAGTCTGATCATACTTGTCATTTATATAAAGGATGAAAATAGGGTGGGGTAAAATAAATAAGTTCAGATAATACAAGATTTGAATTCTGAGGAAGTTATGGGGATTGGGAAATATTTCAAGTTGTTATTCATCGTAGACTGATACCAATTGGAGGAACGAAGGAAACCTGAGAGCACTGGACAGTTGTTTTTTCCTAGTATGGGACTCCTTAGCAGCGAGCACCCACGACCTTCAGGTTCTGTGGCCAGCACACTAACATTGAGCCACTGGGTTAGAATCCAATGGTCCATATTTCCGACTTCTGTTAGCTCACGATATAGCGCAACCTCCACCCAATATCATCGTTAAGTAACTGTCCTCATGACCATCAGGCTTTGCCCTGGCGGGGTCGTGGGTGCGCACTGTTGAGGAGTCCCATACTAGAACAAAGCAGCTGTCCACTGCTATCAGGTTTCCTTTGTTCCTCCAACTGATGTCAGTCTATGATGAATAATAACTTGAAATACAAGATTTGGAAAATATGGAGATAATAAAAAGGAATGATATATTTTTGCACCACCATTGACATTTAAATGAGATAAAGATTACCAAGGTAAGTTTAAGGTGAGGAAAAACTGTTTGGACTACACAAAGGGGGTTTGAACTTTTGTCTAGCTAAGGCTTCAATAAACTGCAGCATACGGTCTAGATGGCTTCTGCACGATGGTTTACAGGGTGTTTTGGGGTCAGTCGTGTGACTTGTTTCTGCAGTGCATTTACCTATCGACGAAGATATCTGTCTACCCTCTGTATTTATCAGATTATTTGAATGTAAATTTTTCCAACCAGTTAGGGATATGCTCCAACACCCTTGACTTCATAGTTCGATTACTCCTTTTAATGCATGTGTCACCATATACACATGTAAATTGGTATACACAGCAGTGCGTGACGTAGTCATTTATGAAGTGGTGAGGTTTATTTCGAAGCAAAGGTTTTATTTTCTCAATAGTACTGAGCTTAGCTGCCTAATATGTCCTTTTAACAACTGAATTAAGTCTTCATCTTAAGATCATACTGTTTGATTCCCCCCCCCCACACAGTAGCGTGAGGGACATAATACTGATAAGTTAGCACCGGTGAGACGTTTTTATAGTGATTGGTGAACTTCAGAGGATATGCGTTTCCCATAAGTGTCTCTGTTAATAATTTGAATTCTTCCTACAATGTATCTGTTGTCCAGATGTATTGGGTTCTTTTAAGTAATCATATTACTAAACCTCCTTTGTACTGTGTTGGACAGAAACTACGACAGTTAAGGTACTGTCCAGTCCACATAGGTTTACTATATATTGATCTTGTTATCGATCCATCTTCCCTCCTAGTTAATAACACGTTAGGAAGGAAGCTGATTATTATTTTCTGCTTCACATGATAAACTAATGTGGCTTTTTGCGGTGTTATGTCGATGCAGAAGACGTTTCGCATCTGCACGTTTGTTATATATAACTAAGGTATCATCAAAGTATCTCCTGTACACAGAGGGACTTCGGTGATAATATCTTCGACCAAAAGTTCTTCATCTGACATGTAGACATCAACTAACAATGGTCCTGTATCTTATACGAATATTTTTCAGTTATCTCAGCTCTATATATTCGTAATTCTATTTGTCTTACTGTTTCATAAGATGATACATGAGAAAAGATACCCCAGATTAGTCAGTTTTCGTAGTCTAATTGTAGTTGAATGACCAACGAACCTATTCCTTGTTATCCAGAAAAGTGAGTAACCTAAAGAAGCTTATACAGTATAGGAATCAATTGATTCCGTCACTTCATCGAAAATATCTTGGTTTAGCTATAAAGAGTGTCGTTTTCGTCATTATCCAATTAGCGATTAATTCAGCTATTTATTGGAATTTCTTAATATTGCTGTCAAATCTTTCAGTAGTTGCCAGTAGCATGATATTTATTAGGGTATGTTTTCCAATTATGGACATCAGATAATCAAACTCTAGTGAAATTATAAAGAAATTCATCAACTTAGTGCTGATGATGTTACCCAGTGTGGTAAAAAAAATCCACAACCACTTATCAAAGCTTGAAGAGTATAATAAATCATTAGCACCTTCAATTTCAGCCATAGATATTCACTATCACTTATTTTGTCTCACACACAAACACACATTTGTATTCAACTAAATCCAGGTGTAGAGTTTCATCTCAGAGTGTAACTCACCACGATAGTCTGCAGGTGCTAAGTTATTAACATATCCAACATTACTGATAGGTTTATCTTTAATAGATACACTATTTTCATTACACTTTACTAAAGACAGTCTCATTAAACCACTCAAAGTTGAGATGAGTTGAGATTACTGATGATTTTATACTATTAACTGACTGAGGATAACTTTTAACTCAGATGTTATGGTTATTGTTGGTCAATCTGATCATTTATTGATCTCTTGACAATTAATAAACCCATAGATGTTATATTTGTCGTTCCAAAGAAAAGTATTATCTTGAGTAAAATCAAACCATGCGCTATCTTCTAGTATTGTTTCATCTTCTACAAGTTATTCACATCGCTGATTCAAATCTTTCTAATATACTGTCCAGTTGCGTTTCTCTTCATTTTTTTTCGGTTAAAATAAGAAAAAAACTGAAAGTAAATTTGAGCATTTTAAAAAAATCACAGTAAAGTATTACTTATTGATTGATTGGAGATATTTCAGCTCAGAACTGTATCATTTTAACAAATCCAGTCTAATCAATCAGATTAATATTATCAGTTACACTTGCTCTAGGTTATTTTGACAACTCAGACTTCTTGTATACTCTGTTATCATCATAATATTATACATTTCAGGTTATTTATTGAGATATTAACAAATGACTAAATATCTTGCGTTACAACAGACTAGTTCATTAAGCTTTAAATGAATCCATCTTATCACTGTTATCTTTATTAACTCAATTAATAATGAAGTTAGTCAACCTTAATGCCTGCATGCTGCTAACTTTTGTTTAACGCCTTCGGTTGTTTTCTTACCAATATATAAGGTGATGACTGCTGTCATTGATTAAGACTACAACATGAAAAGAATTCTAGGTATTTTGTTGAAATTCCATTTTCTAAAATCTTTGATCATTTTATGGAGTGAAGAAGAAGAAGAAGAAGAAGTAAACACAAAATGTTTATTAGTATATTTTGTATTTTTCTTATACTTGTTTTCTCTATTCCAGTAATCACATGAATATCTCTAACAAATTTGTAATTAGAGTTTAAAACTCAGAATAATTTCTTGTTGAGGTGAAAAAAGACAAAAGTGAAACAAAAGTTTTACTTGAAAGATTTAAATACTGTTGAACCATTGAATTCATGAAATATTTCCGTGATTATCGCTCACTTTGGTGTTTCATTTCAAGGATTATCACAAAGAATCCTTTTAATCTGCAGTCTAGGAGAGACTCATTATCAGCTCCTGATTTTAATCAATAAGCAATAATTCCTGTAAACGTGACACTAAGTGAATCACTATCCAGTAGGTGAAAGATCATCTATTTCTCAAAGATCGTAGATGTTACATGCTAAGGGATATCGAAGAATGAGTTACCAAGTACATTCCAGTTTGATTAAAGCTTGTTTAGCCTACTGAATACACCACACCAGAAGTTTTAAATTTTGTTTGAGGCGATTATCAGTAAACCGTAACACTACTCCATTTTTATTGTTGCAAATCAGCAAGGCATATTTACAACCATGAGAGAAGTGGTGTCTTATCACAGCCCCGAACGCGCGTCAAAGAATATTGCAATAAAAGGGTATTGACATGGAGTTGTTTGGTTATCAAAATATTGATTACTTCCCAATCTGGTTGACATTATAATTTGATCTGGAAAAGCAATTAATGATATTGTCATGAGTACTTTTTGATATTGTTAAGTACTTGCGAAATCATTGTTTTATTTGATAGAAATGACTAATTGAAGACATTTTGAAATCATTGTAAGGATTATCAGTCTTCAGTAGATAGACATAAAGATAGCAGACAATTCAAACTTTGATAGGCAATTAAAATATACATTCTTCGGTTCTGTGACGTCTTTTTTCTGAATAAGACTCCTTTCAACCAAGTGGGGATTTGAAATTGCTGTTGGGTGTAACCAGTGCCTCAATATCGATGGAGAATCCAACAAATTGGAATAGTTGCCTTTCAGCTTCTCATTGAATTCAGCAATATATTTTGAATAACAACTGCTTTTAACCCGTTTTAATGGAACTTATTCTAGACAATAGTTCTTAAACAATGTATTTCCATCGTCTTAGTTACATCACTATATCTGTATGTATATAGTTCAGCCAATTTGTTTCACTAAGGTGAATAACAAGAAATTACAAAGTCTAATTACTCTGTGTTCACATCACTTTTTCTGACTGAAATACCATACATAATCTGCAATAAAATTTAGGATGCTTAACAATATTTTTGAAGTCATTAGATTGCTTTCAAGAGAAATCGACTATCACTTTTGATGCATTGAACAGTTATTTCATATTGTGTAATCAAAGAACAGTTAGCTGTTTACTTGCTTTCTTTTACGCATTTCATTTTTGACTTGGCAGCTAAGCTGATCAAAAGGTATGATGAAATTCGAACCAGACTGTCAATTTCCTTAAGAAAAAACTAGGTAAATGATAAGATGCTGAGATTTAGATAGAAACTATGTTCATTTTCTGAACACTGTCGATACAAGATCCCTTTCGCTGCTCAGAAATCAGTAGCTTAAATGTGATTGCATCTTGTGTTTATATTTTAGCCCAGAAATCATGCATACAAGATCATATGCCTAGCAAATAGGG